CTATTGTAGTATCTAGAGTTTAAGTAAGAATATTTTGTTAAGTAGAATTTTGTTATCTAATTTCTCCTGTTTTGTAAGTTGCATATTGTAGTTTTCCATGTGCGTTCGATATTTGGGGCTTAATCAAAAAGTTCTATATTACTTGATAATGATATGTATACTTGTGTAGTATACTATATTTAAATATTATAATTGCATTCTTATTTGCTTCGAAGTTGAGAATTTACCTAGCTTTTGCTTGAGATCAAGTTTTTGACTTTGTTGCAAAGTAAGAATCATTATTAAGGAAATTAAGCATATAATTACATACATCACAATTTGACATCTATAAAGAGAATTGGGATCAGTTACCCATGACACAAATAAACCCACGATGACTTGTGGGTAACATCAAAAGATAACCAGAGATTCTTAATGGGCATGCCCTTTGATGTCTTTTAGCATGCTTAATTTCCTTTATATTTAACACCTATTTTGAATGAAAATGCACTTTAAATAAGGGTATTTTAATATTTTTCTTGCCTGTATAACAGGTAGGAAATATGGAGCCAAATTGAGTTGAAACAGAGTGATGTGGAGGCAAAATGGAGAAAAGGGTAAACCAACAGGCTGTCGCCTAGGCGCCACCCCCTGGCACCATGGTGCCAACTCTTGGCGCTTAGGTGCCAAAAAGTTTTAGGAACTCCGAAAAGGTGGTGCCTAGGCACCAGAACTGTCCTGTGCAGTTTCAACACTCCCCTGGGAGTTACTTGACGAATCTGGATGGTTGGAGAGGCACTTTTTGGCATTTTTTAAGTCCTGTAATTCTTTAGGAATGCTAAGAGGTCATATATATGAGTAGGATTTATGTTATTTCACTTATTCTGAAGAGATTTGAGAGGGAAATTCAAGAGAATTTGTAAGGGCTTTACTTCAGCATCGTGTGCAGCATTGTTGAAGACTTTGTCCTTAGAATTTGCTTCTATTTTCAGAGTGAAAAAGCTAAGTATAAAGTTTAATATTGTTTGATTTTTGTTGTAAACACATGTTTGGTGAAATTTCTTAGATTAAATGAAGTTTTCTATTATATTTAACATGTGTAGTGAGTTGATTTCTTATACATTTCTCTTGTGATTGTTAGGTTAGATCTGTAGGATCGTTAATGTTATGGAATTGGTTTTATTCCTTAATGTGATGAGTATTCTTCTAGGCTTAATTTACAATTTGTAATCGTCATACAACTTGTTAAAATTAGTTGTGACCCATTAAAACTCGAGAGAGCAATGACGAAACAACATAGAATATTCACAATGTTCAAATACTATGGTGAAGTAGCAGGAGCAACGTAATTTAGAAAGATGTGTTTTGATAGGGTTTGAATGACGAGTTTATAGGGTGACTGCCAGAAACAAGAGCCAAAATTTGAGTCATTTATTTATGCACTCGAAAGAGGGTAAATGAGCCTTATGCTCATTTTATCACCATAACATCACAATTTCTAGTAGCGATACCTACAACCTACCTAGTAATTCACAAAGAGAAAAGTACTCTTATCAATCTTAAATTTCACCTAACTAACTGATCAAGGAAAGTTTAAAATAGGTTTAGAAAAACCACCCTTAACGATATTCCATACTATGACTTGAAAGTAGTAAACTAAAACTTCGCCTTAGGAATTATTTACCTCCCCTTCCCTGTGGGATCGACATTTCAGACTCAATAGAGCCATATATTATTGAAACAATAAGTAGACTTGCATGAGAAATCCCAATGAGTACTACTATCTAATTTTAAGAACTTAATCAATTTGCTAGGGAGCAGATTGAGTTTCTGGTGCTTTTACCAAGACTTATATAAATTGTGATAATAACTAAGGCGGACCACCCTTCTAGGAAGAAGTGAAACCCATAACAGATATCATAACCTAAAATATTTGGTTATGGGGTTCGTTTTCATGAGGCCTTCCTCGCAGGTGTGTCCCCAAAGCATTTTGAACCAACCCTACCTCAGTTAAACACTTTGGAGCTCTCCACGCAAACTTTACCACATGAAAGCTTTTTTCCCACGTTCTTCTTTTGTTCGACCCCATTACTGTTTGCCCTCCTTTCCCCTCCAGTTTCTCACTTCTCGAGATCATCCATACGATTTGGAAGAAAGAGTTACTCAGGAGAGGGGCAATATAATAGAATACAATTTGGCGACTCCACATCATCGACACGACAACACCGAGAATGACGGAAGGAGCACGATCGACGAGATGAGACCCCGACAAAGGTAGCCGCCAGGGCGATCAACATAATAACATTATTGTGGGGATAGAACACTTAAAGTTTGTACTCCAGGAAAAATTATTCATGGATTAAGCATCAAAAGTCATTTATGAAGGGTGTCATTAGGGATGTCAATCAAACATGTCTAGCATAGTTTCATCTTGACAACCAGCTAGTAATGGTTCAAAGTTGACAAGAGAGTCAACTGCATGTGTCATAGAGATCATTTTTAACAAAAACAACATAATTCTATCTCAATAATAAAGGGCCTATGTAAATGTCCATAGGTAACTGTGATATGTTATTCATATTAAAGGGGGTGGTCCTTAGAATAATATATTGTAGTAGTTCCAGATATTTTGTCTCATAAAAGTTGAAGTATTTATTAATCATGACATTCCATGCACAAATTAGAGTGGCCTTTACCAATGGAGTTAGCCTTGTCTAGCAAAAGAAAGAAAAGGGCCTAGATTTCCTGAAAAACTAATTCAATATAGTGGTATGATTTGGAGTAGGAGCTTGCTTTATTTAAGGCGGTATGAATTTTGTCCATCAGGAAAGCATTTATAGAACTCATAATAGTAAGATTTATTTTTATATATAATGACATCAATTGACATTAACATAGGCATGATCATTGGCGATTAGCAACATATCTCAAAATTTAGCAGGCACGACTCTAAAACTCACCAAGTTTTTGTACTCTTAGCAAAAATGCTCTTCCATGTATGCATGTAAGCCTTGTTTATAGATATTTTGAGATAGAATTAGAATCATGGCAAATAGAAATTGTAACATTGCTCCATTGGATGGTCCATGCTAACCTCTTTCATTTATTTAGTTTGTTTAAAAAAAAGTATATTAATAATAACATAATTGAGTGATATTGGTCAAAATGAATCCGTCCCATTCAAATGTTCATTTCATCTTCACACACAAGAAATTAGAGACAGATTGTTGACTCAAAGAGTCTCAAGAAGTTTGTAACTACCCCTTCAAATGCCTAATTTTAGCACATTTGATCTTGGGTCAAGGCATAAGTGGTATTGTTGAATGTCCCATCAGTCATTTTACCTATAAGCTACGTGAAAATAATACATGAGTGATCTAAAAGTCAATTTTAAAATATTGTTCCACCATTAGATAGTTTGAGCTCTAGAAATTGCATTGTTATTGTTAGCTTGTTGCAACAAATCATTAATACTCTAATAGATTTAGTGGCAAATTTTTTGTTAGAATTTTGGCAACAAAAAAATTTTCATCATTTACTTGTATATATTCATCTATCATAAACTGCTTTATCAAATGATTTTTTTTCATTTCATCATTTCAACTTATAAAATATAGCCCAAAATTTGTTTTTTTTAATGAAAAAAGAATATTTGAAAGATTTTACTACATTGAATGCCACTTCAATTCTTTTGGAAGTGAAGGCCATTAATTTAGCCAGGCTTTAATCAGAATTTCTTCAAACTTGCTAATAAGCCTCCAACTTTACCGCTCCTATTTATCAAGTAAAAATAGTACTTAATAGATTTGACGGAAAATCGTAATAGGGCTAACACTATTTAAGAGGAATCCCAGCAGTACAATCTGAATCAGGAAACCCTATTCTACGATCACCTTCAATTATTTTTCTTTACATAATTTTGAAATTATTATAATTTTATGTAAAAGATCAAACTAAAAATTAATAAAAATCTAATTTTTAGCCCAGCACTTGGAAAAAAAACTAATTTTTAAAACTTTATCATCTAAATAAACTTTTATTTCTTAGGGTCTGTTTGGGCCAGCGGTGTGGCACCACACCGCAGTTTTATTTATTTCGTTAAACTGCGTTTTTATTTTTATTTTTTAAAAAATTATCATTGAAGTATATATTTTCTCACCGCTAAATGTTGTGAAAGCGCTCCAACTATCTAATGTTGTGAAATTATGGATTGGAGAAAAAAACTGCAGACTGAGTCAGATCAGCAGTTTACCTCTATCGAAGATCCACCTATTGCTCACACGAGACTTCCTCAGACAGATGACTGACAGATTTACAAATCCAGGAAGAAGAAAGAATTGTCAGATCACAGTAACTCTTAGAATGACTGTATCATTATTTCGGGCGGAAGCCCACATCTTAGTATGTTGTTGTACTCACTCTCTATATTAAGGGGAAAGGGAAACGGTAGATCCACCTCCCCGCTAAATGTTGTGAAAGCTTTCAGTCATCTTAATTTTTTGAAATTTTTTAATAATCTATTAACAGTTCAAAATATTCATTATTTTTTTCTGTTTTATCCCTCCTCCACCTCTCTTATTTAATACAGCTTTTAACAACCCCTACTAATATTTTTGCTACTTATATAAATTGTATTTCCAGAAAAGAGATTAAGCTACAGAAGTCTGACCATCTCCCCTGTTTTCCTCAAATAGCCTATCTGTAACGAAATTAAACCAGCCCAACGCGTACTTATAGCCAGAGAAGCGTATGGTAGGGAGCTTAAAGCTGTGAAACCGTAACAAAAAGCAGAGAAAGAGAGAGGGAAGATTGAGAGAAAGGAGAAAGCAGAAAGTAAAGTGACATTCGCTTTAAATGGAAGAAAAACATCACATGTTATCTCTGCCCGCAACTCCTTTCACCATTATGGCAACTCTTCCCATTCTAGGAAACTATAGCTTTTGCTTCCCCCTCCCTAAATGGAAGCTCTCCAGTTCCATCTCCCCTTTTTTTTTTCTTTACAGTTCTCTTTTCTATTTTTCTTTTACATAAATTTATTATTTTTCTCTATTTTTCCCAAAGTTTGATCATGAATAAGTAGTTTGAAATCATCCGGAATCATCATAAGTATGGTTCACCTCTATGTTTCTCTCTCTATGTAAATATCTGGTCTTTCTATGTCTATTTATAGTAGAGGAAGAAGAAGAGAAGGGTTGAGAACAGAGGAAAACAGGGGAGAACAGGGGAAGAGAGAGATGGGGAGGGGGAAGATAGAGATAAAAAAGATAGAGAATCCGACGAACAGGCAAGTTACATATTCTAAGAGGAGAGTTGGGATACTGAAGAAGGCCAAGGAGCTCACTGTTCTCTGTGATGCTCAGGTCTCTCTCATCATGTTCTCAAGCACAGGAAAGTTGGCTGATTACTGCAGCCCCTCTACTGAGTAAGTGAACAGTTTCTTTCTCTTTCTATCTCTTCTTTCTCTCTCTCTCTCTCTCTCATATCTGTATATTTATATATGGAAATATTTTCATTTTGTCTAGTATTAAGGGGATATATGAGAGGTACCAGGTTGTGACTGGAATGGATCTATGGAATGCTCAGTATGAGGTAAGAGGTGATTGTTTCTTTATATAAATATATGTGATTTAAAGGTGTAATTTTTGATGGGGAAATGCTTTGATGATTGGAGCAGAGGATGCAGAATACGCTGAAGCATCTGAATGAGATTAACCAAAACCTGAGGAAGGAGATTAGGTAAAGTTTTACCACTAGAGACTAACTTTGAATGTTTATTATAGAACATAAATTGGAAATAATACCATACTGTTGGAAGCAGGAGGAGGAAGGGGGAGGAATTGGAGGGCATGGACATAAAGCAACTGCGCGGTCTTGAGCAAACTTTGGAAGAGTCTCTTAGAATTGTTAGGCATAGAAAGGTAAGTTCTAATTATTATTATTATTATTATTTTATATAAATTTAATTAAAATATGCATGCTTTTTTTTATTCTTTTTCAAGAGAAATATTAGACCATATGGCTGCTGCGTGGACCATTCATTCTTTTTGATGTGTGGTTATGTTTAAGCTTCCATGAGTGTGTTTTGTGTGTTAATTATAAGTAAGATTTGCATACATGCATACCACTCAAGTCTTATGTATTTATATCTCTAACACCTAAATTTCAATTTTTACATGCATACCTTACCTATGCATGCCAAAGTATATTTCACTTCTTACAAGTTAAGATGGTGGTAGTTTTTATGACATATGAAAGATTTGGGCGGTATAAATGTAAAAATGTAAAATTTTGGTATTAGATAATAAACAAATAAGAATTGGGTGGTATGTATTTAAGTGCCCCTTATTATAATATAGAGTGGCACCACAGTAGTATTATCTCATCAATAAATTAATTTCAATGAAAATAAATTATTAGTTTCATAAATTGGTCTGAAGTATATTATTTGACATTGGAATATGAGTGATTAGCAAAGTAGTGTGCTACCCAACTACATATTGAAACCTTCACTTTATACATATTAGATGAAGAAGCATAGAAAATGAGATATAGTTTATTAGGAAAGGGTAGAGAGAAGGGGAGGGGGAGAGAGACATTTGTTTCAAGGAAAATGTGAAGCAAACAAAATTGAATGCATCCAAATGATAGTTGTCACTATGAGTACTTGGAAGAAAATTTTGATGCCATTCACATGACACCACTAAAAGTTTGGGGGTCCCCAACTCAATAGGATCCATTTATATTTGATATATAATTAAAATTAAAAAAATAAATGTTTTTAATTCACTTAGAATAGGAGATGAAAAAAAAATATTGAACTAATTAATAATTATTATAGTTTTAGACATGTTGAAAGAAAGAAATTTTGAGCGAATTATTATTATTATTATTTTTTTGGAGAAGGATGAGCACTTAAACCCACCGCATTGATATTTCTTCACTTTATCTCTAATTAATAAGCTACTCATTCTAGCAAGATTAAGACATGAGTTGAGAGACATCAATAAAATTTAAAAGGTAAGTTAATTAAATAATAATTAATATTCAAGTTTAGTAAAATAAAAAGGTATTTATCAATATAGCAAATGCTCGCTGCTAAAGGTGTGTCCTTTTTAAACCTCTCATTCTAGAGATTGCATTTTATCATGTTCTCATCCATCTTCGACTACTCCACAATATTGTGAATGAAGCTAATTTTCTATATTTTATTTTATTGATGAATAGCTCATAAATTTATTATGTTCAACAAATGAACAGAAGCTACATGTATATGGTTATAATACATTATATTTCAATTTAAATGATATAATATTTAATCTTATTTTATATGTGATCTAAAAATTTGTATGTTATATAAATAAATATAAAATGTTAAGTATTAAAAAGATAAATCTATAAGAACTAATGAATAGTATGCATGTAAATCCCCTATTTTTTTATGAGTAAAGCTATCTTACTCAAATCATGGGGGAAAAGATATTGATATGTTGACATACCTTTTTTTATTTATTTAGTATAATTTGAGTGAATTTAATTATAAATAAGTATACAATATATATGATAAGTCTTGTACTTAGAACCTCTTGGTTGAAAGTGATATATTTATTGGACTATGTTCTAAACCAAAATGCTGAAGTAGCTTGGATTTGACATATTTATTAGCGTATATAAATCACATGCAAGCATTTAATATTCTCTTTCTGCTATTGTCAATTAATTGGATTTTTTTAGTTACATTTTGAATGAATATAATTCTTCTCTTTTATTTAATAACAATTAACAACTATCACTTTCTACCTTTCTAGTTTTGTTGGGTTCTTGAACTAATAATCTCTTCATTTGCATGTATCATATCATATTATTTTAAATGATTAATATTGAAAGAGGGATATGCCAACTTGTCGTGATATGATTGATTTGTGTTCTGATGTATCAAACCAAATTAATAAACCGATCTATGTGGAGCATCGCACTTAATGATGCAAAATTAATATTAATTTTCTTTGAATTAATAATAACTAATTTAAAACTAATATGACTGAATAGTCTTATAATATAAATAAATATATTCATACAAGCGCACACAGAAACACAGATTTTTGATCTTACTCCAATTTGACTGTAATATACTTATAAGTGCGGCGGTGTTTTTGAATACGCCGCCTAACCGTTTGGTTTGTACGTTTTTGAAAACGTTGTCTCCCGCATTTGAGTTTTTTACACTAAACACAGGCCGCGGGTCCACCCTCGCAGTCGACCCGCGGGCCGCGTTTCAGGATAAGCTGTTTATCATGAAACATACAAGTTGTCTCAAACAGACCCTAACTGTTTAACTCATGGGATTTTATTGTATTTCACAAATACTGAAAAAATATCTGAATTAGCTTGGAAGTTCAAAACACATAATTTAAAGGTTTTTAAATTTTATTAAAATTAAATTAATTTATTTTTAAAAATACTCAAGTGGGTATCAGCATATGTGATCAAAGCCCAGCACCACCTACTAGCAGCCACCCACATGCAAAAACAAAGTATGTTTTACTTGAACAAATCAAATATTCTTTATTTAAATTAAAATATCAATAAAATAAAATTAAAAATAATATCAAACAGCTCTTAAATAATTGACATTATAGCATAAGGATTGCTATACATGCAACTATTCATGTTATTTAGATATCATTACAAGGTATATTGCTATCATGGCCATAAGATGATAAAGCATGGGAGAAATGTGTTGCTTCATCTTTAGGTGACATGATCATCACCATCATCTCTTTCACAAAATTATTATTGTGACAAAAATAACTGAATATTAGAGATGTGTTGTTCAATCATTATTCATTAACAGATGATGACAATATTACGGTCATGTATAGTCCATTCATTGTTGCTATTATGATGGGTAAGATTAGGGCTACTGTGAGATTTGATATGGTGGGTAAGGCTCAGAACGTAAAGGAGTTTAGTCGAACTAACCTTGCCTATCTCCATCATGATAGACTAGTACTAAAGTTCTAGCTTACTCAAGCTCTTGTGTTGAACTCAAACTCGACTCATCGAATCTATAGCAGCCATGAACTTGACACAAGCTGGAGTTTATATGTAATCATGATAACTTAAGGGTCTCGACTAATTTTTCTCCCACCAAAGCTTTGCCAACCCCAGTTTTTCTCCCCTCGAGCATTGTCCATCAGTTTCTAGAAATCCTTGATTTCGAAAAAAAATAGGGAAGTTAGCACGTACAAGGGTTCTTTGAAGAAGGGATTAACGATGAGGACATCGTGACAAAAGCTTTCGAGAGATGCATCAACTAGAAGAGTTCGTGAAATTCGAAATCATATTTAACTAGGTTGAGTTTACAAAAATTAACGGAGAATTAGGACTTAATATAACCAGGCAACTTGACAAGCTAATAGGCAGTCTCAAACTTGTACTTTAAAAAATATAATATATGAGAATGAATCTTAGATCAAATTGAAAATAGATGATCATTATGCTTGGCTCATAAGTTCATTAAAATGGCTTGCTAGTAAATTGGCTCAATTGCACAACTAAGTAAGGCTATCGAAACGGGTGACATCCTATCTTTATGTCTTCATAAGAGTATAATCACCATTACTATGTCTTATAAGCTTCCCATTTAACTATAGTATATTTATGCCACATAAGATGGTTGTAAAAAACTGTGTCATCCACTCTATATTTATTAGTGTGTATTGTTTTATTACGTGACTAGCAAGCATTGTTATTGTAATCATAAGATGTGTATTTTTTGCCTTTAGGTATCAACATGTGATGCAATTTTTATTATCATGCAAGACAACCCTAACATCAATATTATAGTTGATAAAGAGAAAAGAGGGTTACAATGTATTGGTGTAAATAAGTAATGCAATCATTGTCAGGATATAGAATGCTTAGTTTTGAAGTATTGATAGGTGACATGATTTTCATAAAACTTACTATTTATCCTTCCAAACCATCCATCATTCATTCTATCAATTAATTAATATTTAAGGAGAAAATATATAAGAAATAAATGTTAATACATGTATCAAATATAAATAATTAATTAACCTACAATTGAATTAAGTATACATTATATATATGTATGTCTGTATAGATACATATATACATATACATACATATACTAAAATTTTGGTTCTTGATTTCAACATAGTGCTGCCATAAACTATTGATTAAAAAAAATCATTTTTCCTTCTTCTTTTTCCATTAAGGGGGGTTATATTTTTATATATTTAGCTTCTATACTTAGATATTTATTTATATAATATTATAGTATATGATCACATTAAAATATATGCTTGAAAGAGACTTATTTTGCTTTTAAAAAAATTAATGTTGTTTTTATCTGATTTTAAAAATTTGAGTGTCATTTAAATAAGTGTTATAATTTAAGTGCTAGCTATATAAAATTATAAGAAACATGTGTGAATTTAAATACCCTTAAATTTATTAAAAAAAAAAGTTAAAATTATCCGTGCATCTTTATGTGATTGATGTTTGAGAGTTTAAACTTTCAATTAAAAAAAATATATTTAAAACCTTGCAAATATGATAAGGGTATATTTATAATTAAATTCGTTCAAAATACATTAAAAAAAAAAATTCTAACTCTACAGATTAACTGAAAGTCTTAGAGTTTGTTTGAGACATCTTGTGTGTTTTAGGATAAGATGTTTATCCTAAAATGCGGTCTGGGGGTGGGCCGCGAGATTTGATTCTCGGCCTGTATTTAATATAAAAAATTCAAACACGAATTCGAATAAATTGACGGAACGAGCGAATCAAAAGATATAAACTGACCCAAAGGAGCATTTTTTTGTATTTTGGCATTTACATGCTATTTTTTGCATACATTTACTTTCTGCTTGCTTAAACGGAAACAATTGTCTGACAAAATTTAACTGATTTGATTGGTGGCAGTATCATGTGATCGCCACACAAACTGACACTTACAAGAAAAAGGTGAGTAGGATAAGCCTCAACTCCTCTTCATTTTCATTTTCATGTCATCTTTATTTCCCTCAACTTTTCTTTAAAATAAAATATTTAAATATTGTCCAAATTTATAAATATATTATTAAAATAAACCAAAGAATCACATTTAAATACTCTAATCTTTTATTTATATAGCTGAACTGTCATTACAGTTTTTCTGAAAAATCTGCAGCTAAAGGTGTTTCAATTTTTACATAAAAATAAAAATTAATTTGCAAATCACTTCATATGTTTTAAAAAATTATTAAGAAAATGTATTTATAAATTAATAATTTCTTAAATATATTTATCATGAATTGAGGAGAAGGAAGAGTGATTTAGGATATTATACATTTACTCTCGAAATATTAAGTAAGAATTACATTTTAGAAGATTTAAAATCATAATTATTCTTCTAATTGTTTGGGGCTAGTTTGTGCGTTTCAGGATAAACAACTTATCCTGAAACACGGCCCGCGGGACGACCCGCGGCCTGCGTTTACTGTAAAAAACCCAAACGCGACAGACAGTTTTTCAAAAACGCACAAACTAAACGGTTAGACGGCGTTTTCAAAAACGTCGCCGCACTTATAAGTTGCCCTCAAACAGGTCCTTTCGTTTTGAACATTTTAAAAAGAATCTCAGTTAATTTAACTTCATTTTAAATGATAATTACAAAGCCATCGAAGTGAATTCTTCCAATCTCAATCACTTGTTTACTTGCAGCTTAAAAGCACAAGGGAAACTTACCGCGCTCTAATACATGAACTGGTCAGTAATTCCTACTCTTCCCTTACATTTTTATTTATTTTTTTTAAAAAAAAGGGACATTTACATACTTACCGCACAATTCTTACATATTTACATATCTAAACACCTATATTTTCATATTATTCCCTTACATTTCCCTTGTAAAAGAAAGAAAGACAGCTAAAAATAGAGGCAATCACATGTATACTGCACAATTCTTACATATTTACATATCTAAACATACTCAAATATTCAATATTACATAAAAAATATTATTGCTATCATCAACCTTTCAAAAATGAAATACATATTTTCATGCATAGGCTTATGACACCAAGATTTAATAAACCTAAATTTCAATTTTTAGGTGTTTGATGCATGAATACTTAGGAATTGTGTGGTACAATGGCATGTATGCAAATTTTCCTGTAAATCTCTCCATACTCCATATTTAAAACTTGAAACTTCCATGAAAACAGGATATGAAAGAGGAGAATCCGAACTACGGTTTTAATGTAGAAAACCAGAGTAGAATTTATGAAAATTCGATTCCAATGGTGAATGAGTGTCCTCAGATGTTTTCCTTTAGGGTTGTTCATCCGAATCAGCCCAATCTGCTTGGTTTAGGTTATGAATCACATGATCTTAGCCTTGCATAATGAGCAGTAATATTATGATTTTATTGTATTTTTATTTTATGTTTGAAACTTTAGAATTATGAGATGGGGGATCTATTCAGAGAGAACTGTCCTTTAATTTGATTTTTCAGTTTGTTTCCTCTTCATGTTCAGTGAAATTTTTTGTTTTTTTTTTTCGAAGATTTCATATATCCCACTTAATTTTTATGCATCCCACCTACCGTGACTCTTTCGTTGGTAGAGTTCTTAAGACTCTTGGGGTCATGATTTGATCTCGCTTATGTGTGGTATGAAGTTCTTAAGGATATAAGGTTGTTCGAGAGGCGCGTGTAATAGCCTTTGGCCAATCTTTTTCATCATATATATATATATATATATATATATATAAAAGAATCCCGTAGGGAATTTTATTGATATCAGGTAAAAGTTACAATTCTCTCCAATCCCGTAGGGAATTTTATTGATATATATATATAAGCAAGAACTTTGGCTACCACATGATTCTCTCCAATTCTCTTCCCCAAATGTTTGCAAGCACTTCGTGTCATCCATTAAAACCAAATGGTGATATAAGGAATAATTTCAAGTATATGCTTTTTTCAGTTTATGAGGGTTTTGAGATTTACACAGCATTGTTTGAGATCTCCCCAACAAACAAGAATGGAAATTTGGAAAGTACCTCCCAAAATCCTCCAAATATTCATAGTGAAAGGGCATCAAAAATATATATGGAGAGCACATTCCTTCTCTTCTTTACATAGAAGGCATTGAGAAGGAAGTCTCAACCCTTTCATTTTCGAAATATCATCATTAGGTAGTAGTTGGAAGTAATTCCTTCATAGAAAAAAGGACAGCGATGGATAAAGAGCCTTGCACCAAATTATTTTACCCAAACTCACTCGTGGATGTGGAAGTAAGTGAGAATAGACAGTCATAGCCCAAGATTGCTCCTTAGGAAGTTTCAGAAGTAATTTATCATGTCTAGAAACATCAATTGGGATTTTAAAATGAAGGAAGCAACATATGTACTCACATTATCCCTAAGCAAAGGAAAATTTCAATTCCCATTAACCCAAAAATCGGCCACAGTAAAGTTGGCTCCCGAACTTCACAAGCAAAATATTCTAAGGCCTAATTATCTTTCCAAAAGGAAATCCTACCATGTCCAATATCCCAAAAGATAAATTTCTCAGCCAAGGTTCTAGCTTTAACCATGGATTTTCACATTGTAGAATCCTCAACCTTCACCGAAACAATAGAGGGGTGAAGGTCCCTACAATATTTATAATGCATGAAATTGACCCACAAGGATTCTCTTACCCTAAATTTGAAGCACATTTTGATATTGTTCACCTCCGATATGTGTTGAAGTTCCTTAAATCTAAAGCCCCCTGCATGTATAAGTTTACACATCTTCCTTCAACCCATCCAATGTTTCTTGGATTTATCACCGGCCCACAAAAACCTATTAATACATTTCTCTAATGTATATTGAGTGCAAGATTTTAACTTAAGAACCTATATGGTATAAAGAGTAATAGTGTTTAACACACTTTTAAGCAAGGTAACACGACCCCCAAATGAGAGAAAAGTATTTTTTCCAATCCTCAATACTTATTTTAATTTTTTTTCACTACAACATCCATTTACGATTGTTTCCTCATGCCTCTTAATAAGTTTACACCAAGATATTTGATGGGAATATCAGCATTAGAATACCCCATGTAAGATACCATTCAATTTACCAACTCCTTTTTAACATATTTCCCCACATATATAATGCATTTGTTTTTAATAAATTCAATGCATGAACTTTCCTAAAATCTCTCCAGAAGAGAATATGTACATTTTAATTCCATCTTCCCGACATTGGAGAAGATAGATGCATCATCTGCGTAAGCTAAATGACTAATCATCATCTTTGCTCCATGATTAAATTGCAAATTGGGATTGAGTTTCTGCAACTTGTTAACCATACGAGAAAAATAGTCGAATGCAAGTATAGAGATGGTAGATGATTAAGGGACAACTTGTTTAACGCCTCTACAAGCAGAGAAGAAACCATGTGTGCTCCCATTGATAAGAACACTACATTTTGCAAGCTAGCCATCTCCTTATAAGCCCACAAAACTCAATTTTAAAACCTCTTCCTCTCAAAGAGTTGATTATTAAATCTCAACCAATCAAGTCATAGTCTTCAAGGTATCTAGTTTAATAATCATATTGCCTCCCCAGCAATTTTTTTTATCAAAATCATTATTCAATTCCTGTGCAAGCAAAATATATCAATAATTCCTCTTCCCTTAACGAAAGCAGATTGATTGCGAGAGATTGAATAAGGGAAGTGATGACGCACTCTATTGACTATAATCTTGCTGAGGATCTTAAAAATCACAGAGGTTAGACGTTTGGTCTAAATCGATCCCATGATGATTTATTCTGGTTTTTTTTTAATTAAGAAGATGGTGGAAGATGAGACTGCTTCACTTCTTAATAGTGAAATAGTAATATTTTTATGTGATTTAAGATATTCTGATTGTATAAATGTAAATAATAAAATTTAAATGTTACATATGCAAATATTTAAAAACTGGGTGCAGTGTTTGTAAATGCCCTATTCTACTTATTGTTGCGGTTTAGTACTTGATTTGTCTTTGTAGACTGTGCTTTGATTGAAATGTTACACCATCCAAATAAATTAGCATATAAAATGTTTTCTTTTTACTATTATATTTACATTTTATGTGTCCCAAGCCAGAGAATAGGATTTATATCAACATCATCTTAGCTAGGATTTAAGAAAAAAATATCTAACTCAGTAGCCATTATATACTTTAATCAATGAGAGCATATACATACTCCACAATTCTAATGAATTTAGATATCTAATACCTAAACCTTCACTTTCATACTTACAAACATTCAGATTTTTTATATCACATCAAATATATCATCATCGCTAATTTCTAAAGCGAAATATACCAAATTCACAAATAAAGTGATATACCAAAATTCAAAAATTGTAAATATATAAATAAATTGTGTGCCATGTATATAAATCTTCTATATTTAATTTGTTCAATTATTAGTGTTTTGAACTTTTAAAATATATAGATTATAATGTCATAAAAAATGTGTTCACACCTTATATTTTCAATGATAGACATAAATTATATTTTCAATAATAGACGATTATAATCCCATAAATAAAATGGTCATCAAACAGGGAAAAAAGCAAAGTAGCAGCATTAAGCAGATAGAGAAATTTAGGAATTTCTCTGAAATTTAAATATTTTCATTTAAAAAGTTAAGCTGCAACGCAACTTCATCATAACACAATTCATGGGAAAAAAAATTGCGTAAGTAAGAAGTATATAGTGCTGTGTATATAATGGAAGTTATATTCGCCTTATATCGGCATTATATTCGCGGTATATCTTCTGTAACCTCCATGTAACTTTCATGCAACCTACATGTAACCTACAAATATGTGAAAATAGAAGCGCCAAATTTATTTGTAAGTTCAGGTAGGTTACATATAGGTTATATGGAGGTTACAGACGATATAACGCGGATAAAATACGGATATAACGTGAATATAACCTCCATATGTACGCAGCGCTGCGTACGTCTTACGTGCAAAAATTTTTGTCCAATTCATGAGAATATCAATGAGTTTTCATTAGAAGTTTATGAAGTCGACCGATAGAAAGTGCTTTCACAGTATCTGCAAAAAAAATTAAGGAAAAATAAGTTAGGAAGAAAAATAAAACAAATAAAAGAATAGAGGCTTATTTTGAGAAGAGAATAGTTTAAAAACAACCATCAGAACCACCAACATGCTGCCCATTCACAAAAACTTGTGGAACAGTGTGTGTACCAACCAAATCCAGAAGAACATTTTGAATCTCCTTCCCATCATCTGCATCTTAAAAAACATTGAAGGTTGAATCAGGATTTGTGCAAGTCTAAATGAACATAACATGTTTAACAATAATGATTTAAATAGTATTGAGCCAAAGAGTTATGTATTAATTGGGGCATTTATACATAACACACAATTCATATGTATTTACATATCAAAAGCCTCTAAACTTTCATATTTACATGTATAACACAAATTTTTAATATCACATCAAAAACAATTTGGACTTACTTTTTCAAAGTAGAATACACTTTTTCATGCATAGGTTTATGACACCAAAGTGTTACCAATGTAAATATAAAAGTTTGGGTGTTAGTATTTAAATACATGAGAATGGTGTGGTATGCATGTCAATTTCCCTTGAAATTCTTGGTATAGCACAAAATCTTCTAGCTCTTGCTAATATAGTAATTTACGATGGATATACTTCATATTTGAGGTATATCAACCTAACTTTTAACTTTAGCTCATATTTGTCAATAGTGACATTGCATAAAAAATCTTGTGAAGTCATCCAACATATAGCATGACTAACATATAAGACAAGATGTAGAGTGCAATTTTAAATACATCACAAAAATGTTAAAAATTTATGGATAATTTAATAATAATTTGATAATATAAGAAATATATATCTTAATGCCAAAGATTAACATCAATGTGCTATAATATATACATAGATGAATTTTCTAGGAGAGATTTTGGCACATCTCCTTATCAGTTTTCCTTCCTTTATACAACACTTCAGACACAACTTAAGCCTCCATAGATTTAATGAAAAGGACTTTTTGAGTTTTTTCAAAAAATTCATGTCTGCCAAGAGTTTTTTTTTTTTTTCCTGTTACATCTGCAAAGAGTTGGTTCTGCTCTTGGATTGAGGTGTGAATCAGCCAAATATAAGATTTGTAAATCTTAAAGGGCGTTTGGGATCACTTTTGTTTATTGTACTATAATTTTTTATTTTTATTTTATTTTGTTTATGTTTTGATTTGAAACAAAACATGTTTGTTATGTTATACTAAGATATGATTGTTTTTTAAAACAGTCAACACCCAATGTTAGTGTTTTTCAAAAATATGTTTATTTATTTCTAGAAATAAAAAATAAATCCTTTTTATAAACACATTAAACAAACATATTTTTAAAAACAAAAGAGAAACTAAAAAGCAAAAACACAAAACAAAATTGATCCCAAAGATATCGATTTATTTCTCGTTTCTTGTTCTCAACATCCCCGCTATCTTCCCAAGTCCTTAATCCACCTCAAACGTCAAGAAATTCGATTCATACCCCCTTTCCCAAAACCTCTAACTCCAATTATCCTTTTAATATGTTCATAGAAAAAATTCTTAACTTCCTAACCAAAGCTTAAACAACATAGACTAGTTAGCTAACATTTCAAACATCTGATCCGAAAGTCCTCACCTTTCCAACAAAGAACCATTGGAAGAAACGTTAGCCAAATTTGTCTCTGAATCCAAAACTAGTAACCCTTTTCCATGTCTTCCATTAACCCAAAACTTTCCACCGACGCGACAATAATCACTGAAACCCCTTAGCAAATCCATTATTTGATATCAATGCCAACAAAATCCAAAATTCCTTATCCGTTGGCCCAAAATAGAGGAAACTAAATCAATTCAAAGAGGAGCCGATACTACTAAAGGAACAATCTAACCTTTGAATACACCAAGATTCTCCACCACCAAATCTCTTTTTTTCAAGAAGAAGACTATTACTTCAGCAAAGAAACCTCCTTCATTGCCAAAAGCATAAACATTTGGATTTTGGACGCAAGCCAAGAAGAATCTATGACTTGGTAGCTAAGGTGCATTCCCAACTTAAGATTCCTTGGGATAAACCACTAACATCAGGCATCATAGGTGCTGTTGATGATACCACCACTATGATATTAAAATTCTTGTTTAAAAGCCCCAAATCTGGCAAAAAAAAAATGTTTGTATATTTGGAGGCATATACAAATATTGCATGACACTAATTTGTTTAACTTTAAACTAGCCCATTAAACCCCTTGCTTGAAAGCCACCTTCACTACGAGAGAATTCCACCAAAATATAATAATAATAATAAACATTGACCCAAATTGCAATTTTTATATATAACTTCTCCAGTACTCTCTTATTTGATATATTTTATTTATTTGAAAATGCAAAACAACATTAAAGGAAGTTCTTAAAAGGATCTTTAAGATATTTCGCAGTAATTACCAATTTGCACATAATTATTTTCTAAAATAAACCCTACAAAATATGCAAGTATTGTGTGAAGCCAAACCTACATGACTTTATCAAAGAAGGTTTAAACACCTCCGGCAACCTTAAGATATAAAGGGCTTTATACCCCCTCATCACTTGGAAGTTTGTGTTAGATTAGGTTAACTCAACAGCCCAATATATATTTCTTCCTTTACTCTTTATTTTCAAAGCAACATTACATCTATATAATCATCATGCCACCCAAGTCTATAACCAGTAGAAAACCTTGGAAGAGATTGGGAGACATGAATGACATTCATTAAAAAATAATTATAGATTAAATCAAACTAATTAAAATCGATAAGAGAAGTTTCGATTAACATGAGACATTTATATATTATTTTAATGATGATTTAGAGTCTACCCAAATAATAGAAGGCATTACAATACAAGATATACCCAAAGAAAAGAACAATTTGATCGCCCAGATAAAAAAAAAATCTAAATTGAAGCACCTACCTAGGCTAGCTTGCCCAATTAATAATGTTTAATAGATGTGAGATGGGTGACTACCAAAGATGAATTTTGCTCAACTCCCATTAAATGGGCATAGTAAAATATGTTGGAACAATGCTTTCACCAAATAAGAGATATTAAGAGAGTTCTTAGGTGAGAGGAAAATGAAAAGAAATGTTCAGAAATAAGCATTTTGCCCTCGACACCATAACGAGAAACTTCATACTTAACTCTATAGCCTAAGACAAGTTGTTGATTAATCACCTCAATAAATTTGAAGTACTCATTGCTAGAACCCACTACCTTGACAATGATTGGCAACTTACTGATAAATTTATTATTGGACTTAAGTATAACCTAAGGAATTAGGTTATATGACCCTTAGACCTTAGAAGATGCCTTTCAAATTTATACCTTGGTGGAAAAACAAGGTATCAATATGCCTAGTTTCTTTAAAAATAATGAGTTGTGAAGATAACATTTGGTGTGATATTTGTCAATAGATATAACTGTATACTCTACTAGGCTGTCCACCATAGCTATAAATATGAACATAATTTTTTATGGAAAAAAGATCTGTATAGATTTAAGCATAAAAATAAAACCGTTAAACTTCTCCCTATAAGCCTATGGATAAGCTTACTCAACCCATCTCCTATAAGCACAATTTTGACATAAAATTCACTCTAGCGCATAAAAATTAAAATAAGCTCTAACATCTTGTTATCAACTCCACAACTAAAGCTCCATAAATCCAAGATCAAGTTCCATAAACTCAAATATCCTGGGATTTAAAAATCTAAAAAATAGAATTTATTGACCATTCTATTAAACACTTTAGTACAGATAAGAAAAAATTGAACATAAATTTATAAAGAATAACATACCTGTTGTAGTATCCCACATATTCAATAAATTGAGCAAAACACAAGAAATCACCTGATGAATTATTGCCTATTAGGGGATACAATGTTCCATATATCTTAGACCTGATTCACAACTTCAAAGTCTCACAGTATTATATGAACTTGACCAAGTATGTTGAAATAAAAAAAATAAATAAGTGAATGATTTCATAAGAAAAGGATTCCTAAAAGAGAGAGAAAGGCATTGTATTATCCCTATCTTAACCTTAAAAAAGATAGAGTATGGAGGATATATAATAATAGTAAAGCCATAAATAAGATCATAATCAAATGAACATACTCTATACCTGAGTTAGATCATATTTATGTGGCCAGTATTTTTTTCTGAAATTGATCCTAGAAGCAATTTCCATCATATTCAAACATAAGCAGAGATAAGTAAAAAAATAATATTTAAGGAACCTGATAGATTATATAAATGACTAACAATGTCTATTGGCCTCTCCAAAGAACCTAGAACATTCATGAGATTGAAAAACATAATTTTAAATCTTTTATGGAGAAATTACGAATAGCTTAAAATAATGATTTCTTGATTTATGGTTGTGTTAGAAGTTATATTAGGAAATAATTTATTCCTGTTAGAAGTTGTGAGGATCAAATTTATTTTCTTGAATTGGAGTAATTTGATTTCCTATTTTATGTTTTATGTCGTTTCCTTTATCTCCAAGTAATTAATATGAATTGATTAATTAGAAATAGTAGATGTTATGTCTTTCCTTTCCAACTATTTTCTTTTTTCCTGACTTTCCTATCCTAGGATTTATGTAAGGGTTATTTAAAACCCCTTTTCATATCAATAATATAAGTGCGCATTATACTAAATTTTAACATGGTATCAGAGCGAAATTCACTACCCTAGCCATCGTACCTCTTTCCAGAGCCGTCGGACTCCCTTCATGCCATCCTCCTTGCGGAAAGGGAGTGATGCTCTTCTATTGCCCAGCTACCGCGGCTGAGACTGCCGCTTGAAACGACGACTTTCACTTCTTCTCTGGTAGCCATCAACACCAGATCCCTTCCCAGATTGTCGCAAGCCTATCTACCGTAGGAACTGGCTGTGGGAGTCAACCACTATGGACGACAATCTTCCTTGCTTCCCAAACCCTGCTTTCACGTGAAAGTGAATATCCCATGAAAGCATCTCCAGGAACTTCCTGCATGCCCGTGAATCTTCCAACATGTGTAACGTGGCCTCCCTGTAGCGTCCTCATAAGAATACCTGGAGGAAAATTCCTACAACTGGCCCAACCCTTCCAGCAGCTGGCTAAATCTCCTTCCTGCATTTTTTTCTTCCTTAAAGCTCTTTCTCCCTTGGACATCTTTCCAGCGGTTTGCTTCCCAG